AACAAACCAGGAGATGGGGAGCACCATCTTCCTGATAACTAAAAGAAACTGCGGTTGCCAACCCGTCTGCAAAGCGTGGCAACTTTGACAAATATCCTATGAGGCAGTCTATGTAGAGAGCTATATTAAGCAATGGACTTTTTGATTGGCTGTATTGGTAAATTTCAGAATCATATTTTTTTTTAATATGATTGTGTGACAAACGAGCACACAGTCCATCTAATGGTAAGCGGGTGCTGTGGCCCATAGACATCTACATCTATCCTCGATTACGAATCAAAATGCAGATGCATTGTCACCTGTGAGGACTTAGATGGAATGCCTCGTTTCCAGTAAAAAGGGTCTCCGGTTCTCTACACTACCATACGAAACACAGCAGCATTAAACTACTATTTGTATGCTACTATTTGCATGGGTATTTTAAGACTGTTTATTTATAATGATTTATCTGTCAGAGGTCGAAACTTGTTCCATTCATTTTTGATAACAGACTGAGTTCATGTAAAATAATTTTATTGAGATTCTAAGAAATTTAATTAAGGCTAATAGTCTGCATACATCACCGCTGATGGGCAATGACCATTTCTGAGAGTGTTTGAGGCTACATATTAATTATTAATATCTATATTTACAGGAGGACCTGGACAAGGAGATGCTTGGAATCAATGTACCCAAGGACAACCCATTGGAGCTACCATCTTTGGATGAGGTGCACGACAAACCAAAGCCCAGCAAGTCTAAAACAGGCAAGTTGACTTTTTAAACTATTTCAAATAATAATAATCTTTATTGATAAACATATTACATGCACAAAATTTAGAGTGGTCATTAGCCCCTAAACTAGGATATAATACCAGCATTGTAAATGTTTGATAGTATGTGTGCACCCAAGTTCGATGCTGCTGTCATTAATTAAATTGTTTATGCAACTTGAAAGTATTAATGCAGCAATGCCTTTCAAATGATGACAAGGATATTGTTCCCCCAGCTCATCTCATGGATGGATTTTGGGATGGATTTAGGAAAAATATCCTATGAATTGTTTTAGTAAGGAAGATCTATTGTCCTCTGATAGTTTTTTTACTGAGGCAAGGATAGTATAGTCCACCTGATAGTAAGTGGTAAGCTGCATATCCATCTTCTATTAAAAATCAAAATACAGATTCATTTTTACATCTGACTAATAAGATGGAATTCCCAGTTAACAGCAAAAAGATTCTTTGGTTCTCTACACTCACCATGCAACACAACAGTATTATGGTACAATTCTGTGAAAGCGTAGTATTTTCCCAGTGGAGCTGACCCATTGTACTGCAGTTATTCTTATGACTGCAATCTGGCTCTACCACATACAAATGCCATGTACATGGAGGACAATAACCAGTTAGTGTATAATATATTTGCAATATATTTAAAATAATTCAGACCGTAATTTCCTCCAGATCGGATTGTTGGCCACAATGGCCAATCTTACCGAAAACTGTCCATCTGCGTAGGATCGGATTATAGTGATCAAGCATGTGCGTCTTTATTTCCTCACTCTTCTTGTCCGATGGGACAGGACACGTCTGGAGAGAGATCAGACTCAGGATCAGCAGCTATACGAGGGGTGATCCAAAAGTAATGATAATCGGTTACTTCAGGTCCGCACAAAAATCCAAAACATATTTTTTGCTCGCTTATATACTCACTACGTCAGCCTAAAAAAATCATATAAATAGATCATGATTTCCGGGAGATACATTCATTTGAATACGAACTGTCAAAGAGATAACATCAACATGGAGAAAAACGAAATTAGAGCTGTCATCACCTCTGTACCTCTGTTTGAAAAAAATGTATTCAAAAGACATACACAGTGACTTAGTCGAAACATTGGGGGACTCTGCTCCTCCATATTCTACAGTTGCACGCTGGGCCAAGGAGTTTAAACTGGGCAGAACATCCACTGAAGATGCACATTGCAAAGGACGCCCATCCACGTCCCTCACTGAAGACAACGTGAAAAAAGTCGAAGATGTTGTGTTGGCAGATCGAAGAGTGACCATCAGGCATGTAGCTGAGGTCACAGGGATCTCATATGGCAGCGTTCAAAGAATCCTTGCAAACGAGTTACATATGAAAAAGGTCTCTGCGCGTTGGGTACCCGGAATTTTAACCGACGAGCAAAAGAAAAATCGAGTTGACATTTCGAGGGTCAATCTCAAAAAGTTCCAAGCAGATCAAGAAATTTTTTTGTTCCGTTTTGTGACTATGGACGAGATCTGGATACACCACTTTGATTCTGAAACGAAACAACAAACGATGACTTGGAAGCGAGCCTCCTCACCAACGCCAAAGAAATTCAAAGTTTCAAGTTCGGCGGGAAAGGTTACGGCATCTGTTTTTTGGGACGCTCAAGGAATAATTATGGTGGAATATTTGGAAAAGGGAGCCACTATTACGGGCTCTTACTACGCAGACTAAATAAGAAGATTACGGGAGGACATTAATGAAAAAAGTCGCGGCAAACTGCGAGCTGGAGTGCTGTTTCACCAAGACAATGCACCGGCTCACAAAGCCGCAGTTGCGATGGCTGCCATTCAAGAAACGTGATTCGAACAGCTCGAACACCCTCCCTATTCGCCAGATCTAGCTCCTAGTGACTTCTACCTCTTTCCTCGGCTCAAGCAACGCCTCCGAGGCAAGAAGTTCGAAGACGATAGCGAAGTAATGGCCGCTGTTGAAGCGTTTTGGGAGGGTCAAGACAAAGAATTTTTTTCAAAGTAAAAAATTAAATGTATTGATTTGTTAGGAGACTATGTAGAAAAATAAATTATTATTTTAACTTTAATTACCATGTTTTATTTTCATTATCATTACTTTTGGATCACCCCTCGTACATACTTTCTAGGCATGGGGTGAACACTTCTAAATTCCTGACTACTGAGAATTTCTTGACAAAAAAAACCCATTAACTGATTTTGACCCAACCCGACATTCGAACCTGGGACCACGTGATCAGTAGTGGCGCTGACCACTAGACCAACAAGGCAGTCAAACCACATTAACTTAAACCAATTTCAAACTATACTATTAGTTGATTGGGTTGAGGTACAAACCGATCAGCCATATGACATTGTTTATTTTGGATCAATTAATTTAAAAATTATCTCGAATTTCAGAGGACGATGACGTACTGAAGCAGCTGGAATCCTGGGCTACATAGATGTAATTATATAAATAATGTGAATAATCAAAATGCGTTTTACGTCTATATATATTGTTATTTTGTGATATTTTCAATTATTACGCAAGAAGAAATAATCCACGCTATATATAGGTTACTGGTATTTATGTATATTTATATTTTTTAAAGCAGCCTCCCAGAACTAAAACAAGTTTGTGTGATTTTATTTAATTTTTTTTAAACACTAACCCCATAATATTTCGATAAAATAAAAGTGTTATTTTTCATCATGAAGGTATTTTCTATAGTGAACGGTCTGATGCTATTCATTGCCTATGTGAACATTATATGCTTTAGTAATAACTTACATAGTTTAGGTTTTCGTTAAAATTATGAAATAATAACAATGCATGCCAATATTTTTTTTATCAGGCTGCTTTCCATTACTTATATAATTTATTTTTAAATACCACATAATTTTTTTTAATTATTTTTTGTTAATAGCATACACTTACTTAAAATGTAATACGTGCGCATTACATTTTAATTTCGTAATTCAAAGATCAGGCATGGAGGTCATAAGCTTAAAAAAACCAAATATACAACAAATATAAATTGTGACATGTGTGATTTTTCTATAGCGCCGAATTCCAAATTAAAATGTAAAACAAATATTCGATAATACTGACATACGGATAGTACTAACTAACCTATGAAAATGTTACGTCCTTTGTTATTTTAATCTAGCGTTTTATATATTTATCTCAATTTTATAGTAAAAATTAGGGTTGCTAGCTTATTAAATGAGAAATGCGGAACTTTTTGTTACTGAAACAGAAAAAAAGGAAATGGAAGGTTTTTCTTTATAATAATTTTTTGAATTTAAAATGATAATAAAAATAGGAGTCTGTTGAAAGGTTAAAATTTTACAAGAAACTAATTTTGTTTAAAAGTTGAAATCTACTTAAAATCTAAATAAAATATTTTCACATAATTTAATGGCTTCTGAAGCGCGGGGGCATTAACAGCTTCACTGCCCGTCAAGATGAGTGAAGAGAGTGCACATAGCCTACGAAATTTTATGTTTTGCCAGGTTTTGAAACTGTTAAATAATACTAATATATATTTATATACTGCTTATATTAATTTAGTGTATATAAAGGCGACATAAAAAAATTCCGCACCGGTGCGTAACGGGCCCCCGGAATGAAAATTTCATCCTTGCCCCTTTTATCCGCACAGGTGCGAAGAGTAGGTTTTTGGTATTTAACATTTATTAATAATAGAAAAAATCATTAAAATCAATTTCCAATCTCCCTGTGATAGTTGTCAAAACATTCGACACAAAGCCCGGGCTTATTCTCGCATGTTATGCAGTGCCACGGGGGAATCGGTACGCTTCTTATTTTTGTAGCATTGACGACAAATCTTTCTCTGTACTCTACCCTTTTTCGTCAAGTCCGTGATTTTTGCAATCCGATGCTGTGATGATGATCCACCTGCTGTTGAAATTGGCAGCGGTTCGGATGGTTTTTGTGGCAGCAAGGAACTTATTACTCTTATACGATAATCATACAGATTCAGTTTGTTTTGGCCTGAATATTTGTTATATATTTTATATGAGTTGATGGATAGCATTTGAAATATATGTACGGCAATTTTCATGTACCAGCGAAAGGTTTTTCTCTTGCATGGATAGAATGCTAGAAGATGGTCTTGTCTATCTACTCCAGATATGTATGTATTGTATTTAGCTATACTTTCAGGTTTCTGAGTAATCTGTCTCCGTCTGTTGGTAACTGGCACCATATTATTAGCATACTGATTGGTATTATGTATGTAACCGGTATTGGTTGATTATGTATGTAACCGGGCGCCTATCTTTCCATTTTCCTATGTGAATTCCGTCCCGAAACAATGATATGTTTTCGCTCTTTTTCAATACCTTTTGCGTCACTTCTTTAGGATTGTCTCGTAAATCTTTACGTAAAGTGCCGGTACAGTATGTATTTTTCTCGAGCAGCTTTTTTGCCAGTATATAACTGTTGTAATAATTATCCATATAAATTTCATGTCCATTTCCCAGTTTTTCTTCTAGAAGATGCATGACAACTTTCTCCACGTGTCCTTTTCCAGTAATCTGTGCATCTTTACCACCAGCATATACACGAAACTTTAGGATCAATCCATCGGGTTCAGTGAGCTTGTATAACTTGATTCCATATTTATGGCGTTTGTTTTTTATATACTGTTTGAAGCTGAGACGGCCTCGCCATAGCACCATGCTCTCGTCTAGCGATAATTCCTTGCCAGGATAATAGCAACTATTCATTTTAGTATTGAAATAATCAATCACTTGGCGTACTTTGAACAAGGGATCCTCACTTTCTGTTTCTGAGGTAAAATGCATACATCTCATAATTAGAAGGAATCTGTTTCTGCCCAACAGCAATTATTGCTGTCCGAATATAGGAAAGTTAAAAAGCCTGTCCTTCTTCCAGTAATCTTGTATTCTATTCATAGAAACGGTTCCCATGTGAAACAGTAAACCATAATTTTTTTTAGCTCTGGGACAGTGAGCTCTTTCCACCGGGTAATCCTAGCATATTCAGAACCAGTCGATAAAAACAACCTTTCTGCTTGCGCGTTGGTTTCGTTACAGATCATAGTAAGAAACTGTTGGTCGAAAAAAAGTCAAAAAAATCAGTTGGCTCTGTTCCATTGATTTCTCCAAGAAACCGATTAGTTTTTGTAAAATTAAATTGTCTCATATCACCTTCAGAAGTCCAGTCAGAAGTAGACTCTTCAGCAGAGGGTTTATCAGGTTTCTGATCATCATCGTGATGATGAGGTGGCGATTGCGAGGGTGAGGACCGTGGCAGTTTTTGTACAGGGCTACGTAAACTGATATCAGTTACAGAATATGACGTAGGCGGCTGACAATCATCCTCCGACGATAACTCCTCTTCATCATAGTCAGGATAATAAATTTCGTCACTGTCACTTTCGGCGAATAATTCTCTTTCCAAATCACTGTCGTTTTCAGCATAATTCATTACAAACTTCCTTTTTCTTGTACGTGAAGGACCCGCAATACTATCCATAATAATGTGCAGATATAAGCCAAACAATAACAGGTAATACAAAACCGCTTTCACGTAAAAAATCGCCGGAAATTCACTCGCAAGACTAACCTACAATCGACGCTCTACGCGCAAAGCCCGCGGCGTAGTGGCCTTTGTAATTTGTATACCTAGCTTTCCGCGCCGATGCGAGAAGCGCCCTCCACGCTCACTCCCGCATTACGCACCGGTGCGAAATGGGCTGTCAAGCTGTTTAACTATTAAGGAGTTATCCCTAGCGAACGACCTTGAGCGTTCGGTCCTATACAATCCACGCGCTCTCGCTACAATATATCGCGTAAGAGATACGCCCAAATTTTGGAATTATCTAAATTAAAAAAGAAAAGCGAACTTAAGAAATTAAATAAAACGTGAATAGTATAGGTTTTTAAATTATCTATCCATTAGTGTAATCCTCAAATGATTAGAGCTCTCCCTCACTCACTTTAAAATTAATTTTAAATGTATTTACAGCACATAAAAACAAATTAGAACGTGGAATGTGATGATAGGATATCGAACGTTAATACTGTGTTTTTAGATGGAGTTTATTTCTCATAACTAATGAGATAATAGTCTGAAAAACGCACTGTCACAAGGTTTTGGTCGGGGTATCACCTTAACTCTCAAATACACTTTGTCTTGTACCTACTTCAGAAGCTCTTAAATTATTCAAATTCAAATTTAGTTTTATTTGTGAACACAGGTAATGAGACATCTTTGAAAAAAAAATGTTGTGTAAACTGTCTTTTTTGGTTTTTGAAGCCAGCGTTTATTTTTTAAGTTTAATTACCTTTTTAAGAGGACTAAGCAGTCGTTTTTCTCAACCTTAGGGATGGAATTTATTTTTCAAATTGCAATGCATCTACTCTTGAGGTATAGCCTAATTAATAAAAAAAAGAATTATTAAAATCTGTTCTCAATTTCCGAAGATGTCGTGTGACATACATACAAAATGTATCGTCGAATTGAGAAAAAATCTCTTTTTTGAAGTGTGCTAGAACTTAGACCAACAAAAAAGAAAGACGACGGAATGCTGTGGACATTTCGAGTGACAAAATGACACAAAAAACAATATAAAACCATGCTCAACTTTTTGTAAGAACACGCATTTGCTTTTTAAGGTGATTTGAAATTTGGTGATTTTTCTAACGTATTTTTTTAAGTTTTATACAGGATGTTAGTGTAAACACCGTTATTCTTGAAAACCAGTCGTTTGTTTCATTTGCGTAAATTGAATGAATTTAAAAAAAAAAACGCTATTTTCTTTCATAAAATTTAAAAAGTTTCAATGTACATCCGTAAATTCATGGATATCCTATGCGCACGAGTGACGTAATCACTGTAAAGATCACCGCCCGCGCTAGCTACCTACGCAACATTCCAACAAAAACACAATAGGTACACATAACCTGTGATGTAACTATTCCTTCATACTTTCATCCTGGCTTAGGACAGGCAAAAATTGAGGAATTAAGGAAAAACTGAGATTTTACTAAAAAAATGTTATTTTTCATTGAATTTACGTTCTATAAGTGAAACCAAACCACTGGTTTTAAGGATAACGGTGTTTACGCTAACATTCTGTATATTATAAAATAAAATTTTAGTATATGATTTTTAACTATATGACCCTAGATTGCAAAACACGATATCATGTAATTTTCTCTATAGAAAAAAAATTGCAAAGTAGGCTCTAATTATTTACATTTCTTGATGACACCACAATATTCTTATGAATAATTTCATGGAATTTTTGGATTTCATTCTCATAAACCAGTTTTTTAATCCATAACGAAGTTTTGTTAAATTAAATAAAAATGTTGTTTGGTGCTTACTTAATTTTTTTCCGAGCGCTTGCTCGATATGGCTATCTCATAATTTGCGTACTATGAAGTCATTGCATCACTTAACACATACACATATGTGCGTATGTAGCAGTGAACATTTACTGGCTTATAAATGCGGAAAGAAGAAAGATATGTGTGTGTGTGTGTGTCAAGTTGAGCATGGTTTTTGCATCACTTAAAATGTACCCAGCGCTATCACTTAAAATGTCTTTGCGTTTTCTTTTTTGTTCTGATGCTAAAAATAATCTTGGAAGAATTTGTGAGGCAGCGTCGCCCCTACATTATTGGAAAAAAATGTTGGAAAAAGAAAATTGGACAAAAAATTATCATTCGCGTTTTGTTTAAAATATTTAATATGCACATCTGAAGAAAATTGGCTGCAATCATATTTATTACTCACTTTTTTTTATAAATGTAAATATGTATTATTAAACTGAGTTGCAATCGTATTTCTTATTTAACCCATAAAAAATGATTAAAAATATGTACGAATGCATGCAACTAGTAGTTGGCTTGTGCGATAAATAAAACGTCATCAAAGTAATTTTGCCTTAATCACCTCACGTATTTAGATAAAATGTTGATAGAGTTATTGAGAAGGTAAGTAACGTTTTGTAAAATGTTTCGACAAATTAAGAGAATATTCGGGCGGCGATATAAGATGAGCCTTTTTCAAATTTAGTAGAGCCTTTATCCCTATATATCTTATACTGTTGAACAATATTTTATCGCTCCAGTTTTTGAAGAAGGAAACAGGGGAATATTGGATAATGATTTCCTCTAGTTTTCATAGGTATAATGGGTGCGTTTGGCAGAAAAAAGCGCTAGCAAGCGCTTGTAAGCAAAATGGCGATCGTAAGCGGTAAGCGCTGTCAAATCGTAAGTAGCTATTTTCCTCCAGGACACGATGTTAGTTTTAACCGGGGAACCTAACCTAATTTAAATATATGTTTGTAAAGTATTTATATTAAAAACTTACCAATCATGAATTTTTAATAACATGTATATGTCTATTCATGTCATTATATTACTTAAAACTAATATTGCACAAAACAACTTATAATTTCTTCTTCAAAACAAACAAATTAAATAAGCAAAATGGCGGATTGTGTCAGCGCTACTGAAGTAGCAATCGTGCCCTGGCCGAAAACTATTTTAGCGCTTGTAAGCGCTTGCTAGCGCTTTTTTCTGCCAAAAGCACCCAATAAGTCTGAGCTACATTTGTCTCTCAATTTTTGAGCACAGCGCGACAACAACTTTCAAGTATTTTGCAGCCCGGATATTTTCTTAATGAAATTCGTGTTAATGTTGTATACACTGTTCCAATCAAACTTTCCACGAACGGAAACAACGTACTGCTCTTATTTAGAAATGTATTTATGTAAAATATTAAAATGCAGTTTCTATGTAATGAATCCCATGAATGTAAGCGTTGTTTTTATTCGTGGGAAAGCGGATTGGAACTGACTAAATCGATTGAGCGAATTTTACACATCGCTGAATTTAATTCGGTAAGCAACATGGTAGATATTTGTTTGTGTATATACAATTTTTTTGGTATATATACAATTTTATATGTTACAATAAATTTTTCAAATATTCTCTTCAATTTTCACATTTTCTTTATTTGGGAACGCTGCGGGAATAATCTACCTACTTTTTTTTAATACCAAAGGCAAATTTAGGCCACAAAAGTAATTTTTACTATTTATTGTTTTCTTTTATGTGTAAAATTTTATTAGTTATTTGTAATAAATATTTAAACAAATAGAAAGAATTAATTGAAGCTGATAAACTGGATTTATGGTTTCAGAATTTTTAAACTTACCCCCATTTTATGACAAGTAACATAGTTTTGGTAATCGATGAAACTCGCAGTGTTGCCATTATAAAGAAACGTTCTAAAGCTATAGTTAGTGCCTACGTTAACAGCGTTAGAGAAAAGTTAGCAATTATTTAAGCTATATTAACTTGTGCATATGGTCTAATATATTTTATATTAAGAAACATGCGTGTTTTATTTTTGAACCCCTCCTTAAACATCAGTAATGTTTTTTTTTAAATCAAAATGACTTACTTCGTATTCGCAACATCTCTTGTAATAATTATTTTTGAGACTAAACTGCACGGGCTGGGTGTCGTAATAATCACATACGACTAAGGGGATTGCTCAAAATTGGGAAACATGAAGTAGATTATCTAAGCCTTTGAGAATAGTGTAACTTCTTGAATGCAGTTCTGTACTACTTACGAATATCTGGCTAGTAACAAATGGTGGTATATTCGAAAATGTCGAACTAAGTTGATGCAGTAATATTGGTGTCCAGCGTTCACTATTCTAATCAGGCCTTCACACTTTTTTTAAATCAACTTTTAGTCCACTCTGGGTAAAAAAGACTTTAAATTAAAGCCTCGCATACTGTCGCACGCGCAGTCAGAAGTAGACGTGTCGTGTGTTGTTCTAGCTAATTTTAAAATTTAATTTTAACGTGATTTATATTTGAAATCTAATGTGGTGCATAAAGTTTAATCTAGCTATCCCTTTCGGACCGCTCCAATACAATTGTGCGGGTCACAAAGTCGAGTATAGCTCATTAGTTTTACGTTGGCAGTGGACGGGCCAAGTATTGTACGATTATGCGGGAAGCGAACTTTCACCTCCCGCGCAAATTTTGTCCGACGCGCAGTCTGCGAGCAGGTTTCAACCTATACATAACATACCTTTGAGTATGCTAGTAGGATGGCAGAAGAAGCACTTCGTGACTGATTGCGCTCTCCGACTTGGCAAAAGTAAGTACCTACTATTGTTTTATTTTGAAAGTGTAGTAATATACGAGTTATTGATTAGAAAAATAGTTAAATATAGGATGTTTTTGTGATAACAGTGACTACTGGCAAGCAAACGCTTTGGCTTAATGGATTAACGAACTTTATTGACACAATTGTTTCAACGTGGGTCCTACCCTACATAAACTCATGTGTATTTTAAGTTTCTAATGATTATTCATTTTTCACAGTTTCCGCACTATGTTTCCACTTTTAAACGACGCTGCTATCGAAGAGATGCTTTATGACTGGGGACGAGGGCGATGACAACGACGAAATCGATACGGACTACTTTATTGAAGAAAACCCCGAACATTCAAGTTCCTCTTCTTCTAATGAAGGCGAAGAAAATGATGACGATAACATACCTTTGAGTATGCTAGCAGGATGGCAGAAGAAGCCCTTCAATGACAAATCTCTTCCAGAAGATGCTGTTCGTGACCCAGGAGATATTAAAACCCCACACGAATATTTCGAGCGCTATTTTACTGACGAGCTCATGGAACAGATGGCTTTGACCACAAATCAATATTATATGGCCAATACTGGTATACAAATGAAACCTGTTTGTTCTTTACTAGATATAAAGAAGTTTTTCGGAATACATGCCATTGTTGGGTGTATAAAATTTCCAAGACTGAAGATGATTTGGAACGAAAAATCCAGGTATGACCCGATTGGATATGCAATGTCTAGGGAACGGTTTTTCCTTCTCAAGACAAACTTGCATTGAGTAGACGTGACAGCGGTGAATCAGACTGAAGAACAAACCAAAAATAGATTATGGAGGGTGCAGCCTGTCATTGATGCCGTCCGAAAAAGGTGCCTGCAGTTGCCAAGAAATGCTGGTAACTATTTAATCGATGAACAAATGATACCTTTTGATGGTCGATGTGATTTGAAAGTAGTCGTAAAAAACAAACCTCGTCCAGCAGGATTGAAGAATTTCGTTTTAACTACCTCCAAGGGACAAGTTCTAGACTTCGAAATTTATCAAGGCTCTACTACAAACTTACCCGATTCGGAGCATTTCGAAGTTGGTGCTGCTGTTGTATTACGCTTGGCCAATACACTCCCAGAAGGCAGTTTTATTTATTTCGATAGGTATTTTTCCTCACTGCCGTTGATGAAAGAGTTAGTTAAAAGAAAAATAGAAGGAACAGGAACTTTGATGGCCAATCGATTTAATACTAAAAAGAAAACGCTCTATGAATTCAAGAAGGATAATAGGATGGCTAGAGGAGAAGATGAGGAGGTTGTCAACAGGGAAAACACCTTGAGCGTCATAAAATGGAAGGACAACAATGGGTACTCATGGTCTCAACTGCTTTTGAAGCAGAGCCGCGAACCCAGGTGTCAAGATGGGATAAAAAGAGGAAACGGTACATCGAAGTCTCATGTCCAGCCATAGTTAAAAATTACAACACTTTCATGGGCGGTGTTGATGTTTGCGACCAGATGATGGAGGCTTATCGAACATGGCGTAAAACCAGAAAGTGGCCTGTGAAGGTGATCTAGGTACATGTTTAACCTGGCTATAGTAAATTATTGGTTCGAGTATCGTGCTGACTGCAAAGCCCAGAATCGAAAATCTAAGGACATCATGGATTTGCTGGCGTTCAGGTTATCTATTAGTGACCACCTTCTAAATGGTCCTCCAAGAAAGAGACCAAGGGAAGATTTGGAATTCGCTGATATGCCTACCTCTTCCAAATACAGAGTGAAGTCTCTTCCCACAGTCGACCGACAGTACGACGGTTTTAATCATTGGCCAGTCTTCGACACTCTGAAGCAGCCTCGTTGCTGTCGTGCTCCTGGCTGCACTAGTCGTAGTCGTCGGTGCTCAAAGTGTGAAATTTACTTGAGCCTTAACGAAGACCGCAATTGTTTTTTTGATTTTCACAACAAAGACTGAATTTAATTAATACTATTATTAAACTTTGAGAAAATTGATCGCATTTCATGTTAAGTTGATCTCATTTAAAGCATTTGTTGATTATTATTACTGTAAAACTAGTACAAAGTTGTGTTTGTGATTTATAATAAATATTTTTGTAACTTTCATGTTCATTTCATTCACGGTCTCTTTTAAGAAAAACGTAAAAAAGGAGGTATTAGGCCCAACTTGATACAACTGTGACACAATTGTACGTAGGAAATGAAGGGCCCAGTATGATACAATTGTGACCTTCACAATTGTACGAGTACGTAGGAAATTAAGGGCCTAGTTTGATACAATTGTTGGTATATGAATTTTCCAAGATGGCGGCTGAAAATCTGGAAAATTATAGCGTATTCGTAATCTGCGGCCCGAAATTACCTAAGACTCAATTAAAAAATTACAAATTTCTTAGTAGTTTAAGCGCGGGTCCGAAAGGGCTATAAAAGTTTCTTGACACTTAATTCCCATTATAATCGCGTAATACAACGTTGCGACGCGACGTGCTGCCAGTGCTGCTCTCCGCCACACCACCTCGAGTAAAGGAGACAACCAGCGATTTTTCTTCCTGCGCACACGCATATTTTTACATACACAGTGCTAATATTCGTTGACCATCTTAACATGAGCGTGAAGCGGTCACCACCCGGTTCTAGAACGGGCTCACCTTTTAGTGGTGAATTTATGACCGGCTCAAACACCGATCTACCTACTAACGATTATCATAAAATAACACATAGGAGACGTAAACAAATAGATGCAGATTTCGTGTCGTCTTCTCAGCTGACAGAATTCAAAACTGAAATAATGGAATTCTTCAATAATTTTGGGAACTCACAGAAGAAAGAATTTAAAAGTTTGAAAGATGAAGTGTCACAAATTAAAGGAGTAAAAGACGACGTCACGATTATAAGGGAACAGCTGGAATCTATAAAAATCAGTACTGTGAAAATCACTCGCGAGCATAGCGAAATGATGAATGATATTTCCGAATTAAAAAACTCATTAAATTATCATTCAGCTGAACAAACCACTCTGACAACATGTATTGATGATGTGGTATCGGAGATCAAAAAGGTTGATCTTTTGCTGCAAAATATATCGTAATTACAAGAAAAATATGAATCTGCGAAATGAATATAACTTCATGCAGCGACGTGATCGCGCCATGAATATTGAGATCTCTCAGATCCCCGAAAATAGAATGAAATTGTTTCCGATTATGTTATTGCAATAGGCAAATACACGGGAATAGTTATATCTGCAGAGGACTTAATTTATGCCCATCGTGTTAAATCACGTGACAGCGACAATAAATCACCAAAAAATATTGTGGTCAACTAAAATCAATTCTCTTGAGAGACAGCATCATCTCCGCTGTACGTAAGAAGAAGGGTTTAACTACAATGGACATAGGAATCCCGGGAGAGTCGCGAAATATATATGTTAATGAACACCTCACACCTGCAAATAAAATTCTGCTAAAACAAACCAGAGTCGCTGCTAAATGTGCAAATCCTAAATATGAATACGTGTGGGTTCGTAACTGTAACATTTATGTAAGGAAAGACGATAATTCCCCTAAAATTCACATAAAAACTCTTTAGATTTAAATAAAATTATATGACTGTGTTACTTTAAGTTACGACTATTGTTATTTATCTTAAACGGTGTAGTCGTATTGTTCTATAATAGTATGGCTAATTGTTTTTTAAAATTAAATAATGTTACTATTTATATAGTATATACAAACATTTTTCAAATACTTTATTATATATACTATAGACTTATTATTTTATATACACTATACACTTTAATCTTTATACTATATTGTTATTTATACTTAATATATACTCGTACATACATATGCACCTTTTATCGATCTGTGTGGGTAAACTCCTCATTTAATATCGGATTCATGCTTACAAAACAACAATGGAATGATAATTCCTTTAATATTAGTGATATTGAAAAGTAATCGATTAGTTTTATTTTTCGCTCTAAATCCATATATGGTTAATATTTATATACACATAAACATTTTATATAAATACAATTTACGCTTAATGTATACATACACATGCAACGATTGTTACCATTAATGTATTATCTAATATTTATATACAAAACTACATAAAATTGTTAAGTTCCGACCTTAGTGCTTTATTTTCAAATACCTACCAAAATTTATATTATTATTGTGAGTCTAAATTACAGCTTATCGTTATCAACAGTAAAGTAACTCGGAACACGTTATTTTTGTTTGTTTATGATTCATTATTCACTTTAATTGTTCTTTGTTTTAATAGTCGTTTATAATAATCTAAAAAAGGGTTTAAGCCTGTACTATCAAAACGTTCGTGGTTTACGGACGAAATATACTCAAAGACGAAATGTAATGAACTTTATAACAATATTTTATCTCAAGATTATGATATAATCTTATTGACCGAAACCTGGTTAAAAAGTGATATTTATAATAACGAACTATGTGATCTTAGATAATATGATGTTTTTCGAAGTGATCGTGATTATTTATTGTCAGAGAAAAAGGCCGAGCGGAGTGTTAGTCTGCATACGTCGCGAATTTAGTGCATGTCTATGCGGCCAATGGTCCAGTGCACCTACAACGCATGAGTCGGTGTGCGTGACTTTACCTGCAGGTACGCTTGGGTCCTCAGTCGATTTACATATAGCTATAGCGTATATTCCACCTGACTCGAACGTAATACCGAGTGGATTGAATGATATTAAGCAAAACTTATCGCATTGCATTGACAATTATCCCATGGACAATTTTTTACTGGTGGGAGATTTTAACTTACCGTGTTTGAGATGGGACTCCAACAATTGTATTACACACGTAGATGGTTCATCTTTTATGGATAATTTAGCGATATCTTTCGTTGACGATTTAGGGTACCTCGGTATCAAGCAATATAATTATTTATTTTTATTTATTTATTTATTTATTTATTGATCTCTTCACAACTTCTTACTGCCTGGTTAACGTGTGCGCGTGTGCGTGTGTGCGCGCATGTGCGCGTATGTGTGCGCGGCGTGCGCGCGTGCGTGCGCGGCGTGCGTGGCGTTACAAATATCCTCTTTAAAAATTTCTTCCAGAAAATAGTATCGGATTTAGCCACTTTTTAAATTTTGTGCCTCTTTTTGAAAAATAACTCATCTCATTTCTACCAAAAGTCATGAAATTTTCATAATATTATCATAATTATTTTTAAAGCTATGACAGCTAGTCTTCACTGGGGGCTGGGGGCCCTTTATATCCACGGGGCCCTGGGCTGCAGCCCAAAAAGCCTATATATAGATCCGGCCCTGCCATTTACCTTCAGGTGAGACCGTAGTTTAACACTTCTTTTTTTAAATAAAAACCAGTACTTTACAACTATCTCACCTGAATAAATGGTGAGTTCATAACTAATCTTTATTTTATTTATGAGTTTGAGACCAAATAGTCGTTTACCGGCATTATTATGCGTACTTTATGTAAGTACTTACATCATTGTTTCATGCGGCGAACATTACCCGTATCGTATCGTAGGCGTCGTAAGAGGCGGCAGAAAAAAAACTGAAACAGGAAATGGGCCGCAATATATTCCTGATCACAATTCACTTATATTAAAAATTGCGGTTGCAAATCAGACATGTCAACTATGAGAAATATCCCTATCAGGCGTATGAGGGGAATCCCATCTATCGGGGAGGAGGGGAGGGTTCGGTTCTGTTATGAGCAAAATTAAATAATCAAATGATTTATTTAATAAAAATAATTTATTTTGACGTCATATAATATTTAATTTTTAATATTTTGAAGACATGTAGTTCACCAACGCGCATTGGGACAGCGCCGTGAACATTTTGCTTAAAACCTTTTCAGAAATGATAGGAGGCCTGTGCCAAGCTGTGGGACGGAGATAGGCTGTAACTTTAACTTTTATAGGAAACAAATCTATAGTGAACTAATACTATACCAGATAACATAAAAAGATAAAGTTAATAAACAGAAGTGTTCAATTAAATTGAAAGCAAACGAATCCGCCGGAATGAGCTAGTAGTCGTTGTATAATAGTTATGTAATTATCCTTAACAAATGTGATTTCTTACAACATATTCCTTTCGAATGGCCAGTTCACAGGATTATCAATGTTATTGCAAGTTACATTAAGGTAGGATATTACTTCACTCATTTGTGATTTTCTGCGTACGAAAACTCCAACAGAAGAATATTTTGAAACCTTTTTCACGCGAATTTAGTTGATATTCCTGGGGAATAAAAATGCAAATGCTTTGAGTTAGTTAGTAGGGATTGCACACTATGTGTGCTGCATACACGTTGTTGATAGTGCGTAGTACAAAAAAATTTCGTGTCGATAATAATTGTGATTCATCGAACGCCGTTAGCCTTGTGGGCAGAATTTTGATAGATATGAAGACTTTCCCTTGAGGGCTTATTCTAGACTGCTGACGATTGAGCTATGATCCAACTAATATAAACAGGTTTGTTAATTTACGACACTTATGTAAGTTATCATGATTATGATAGTCATTTATCATTATTCTGAACATGAATAGGGTTATATTTTTCCATTATCTTTCGGTTAGGCTCGGGTTACAATCAGGAAGTAGTGATGTGCGTGGGATACCTATATTAATAAAAATATTGCATCTATGAACCATTTTATAAATTTTTAACCGTAAGGTGGCGTATGACAATTCGTTATCACAACTCTTTTCATTGTAAAAAATTATAGATATGTTGTATATATATGTAATTATAGATATGAGAAGCATATCACAGATGGCGGATTAAACTGTCAAAAATGCCCCAAAATATCGAGGTTGTTGGAAGTGAACACTGAATAGCATCTAAGGTTCATATCGATACGATCATGATACCTACCATCCCCACCTGGTCGGATACGTGGTAGAGCTATGCTGCACCTATATTATGGTTGTAGCACGAATGAGTCGGCTCCCACAGAGTACCAGCGTCAAATAGCAGCTTAATGCTGTTGTGTTTCGTATGGTGAGTGTAGAGAATCGGAGACCATTTTTACAGGAAATGAGGCATTCCACCTTAGTCCTCAGGGGGTGGTGACGCATCTTCATTATGATTCTTAATCGAGGATAGATGTGTCTATGGGCCATAGCATCTACTTACCATCAGGTGGACTGTGCGCTCGTTTGTCACCCTTATCCTATAAAAGGAATCCTGTAGCAATTGCAGCTAATTGTTCTGATTTAGGAAGGGTTAACAGGGAATGTTTACAGGTTAAATAAGGCTTATAAAGTATCTCTATCTTTGAGACCATAATAATAGTCGAAAAGTAAGTTTTAATAGAAACGTTAAGCTTTATAGCCAAATACTTTCCTACTCAAATATTTGTCCTGGGTTCGACACCATCTAAAGGCAATATTTGTGCAACATATAAAATATATTTATCGGGTTTTCCAGGTTTACACAGCCTACTTTGATGTTTCATGTTTTAAATTATAGATGTATTGTAATCAACTAAATAAAGTTAAATACGTACACGTAATAAATTTTAAGTTTATGTGCCTCATTTAGAGGCGAAACGTGTCGTATTATCGAAGGTATACCACCTCGATAATACGATACCACGGTTTTTCCTAGTGTAGTGGTGTTGGGATTGGTGCGACGGGGATAGTGCTTGCAATTGCTGGAGAGTAGGAGTGGGAGGTGCACTTCAAACTAGGACACATAATTTAAATTATTACACAGATAATAAGTCGTAATAAGTCGCAGCTCAAATCCATCTTGAGGAAACATTATCTGTTATTGTGTCCATAGTGGTGAATGTTTTTTTAATTATTTATGTGTTAATTTAAGTATTTATAGGTACGAGATATTAAGGAGTGTGAAACGATAAACTGATGCGTTGCCGACAAACTGGCTTACAGTTTGGCAAAATTTTAAATGTAAATAATGTATACTCTTTCTAAGAATAAATAAATAAAAACAAAAAGAAGATCTTAGCTAACTGATTTTAAAATATTTAAAGTAATAGATTTCTGAGTAACGCCCGATTCTATTAATTAGCATGTCATTATCCAGAATAAGTACACTA